ACTCTGTCCGGGATTGGTTACCCCGGAGAGTAAGAAGATAGAGAAGTTCATATGGGGGCTGACCCAGCCAACTAAGGGAAACGTTTTAGCTGCACATCCAGATACATATGATAGTGCCAAGAGCTTAGCCCAAACCCTAATTGATCATAGTGATGATGTCGAAAAAGCCACCACCACTCCTGAGCAGACCAAGAATATTGGTGAGAAAAGGAAGTTTTGGAAGAAGAAGAAGGGCCAATCTTCTCAAGGATCCTCAAAGAAACAACAGACTGTAGCAGTCCATGCTGCTACTGTCCCCATTGTTGCTGCTTCTGTTGTGGGATCTACCGGTCAAACATCTATTAGCAAATATGCTGGTAACCTTCCCCTATGTGACAAGTGCAAATACCACCACAACCCGGGCCCCTGCCGTGAACTGTCATGTACCAATTGTGGTAAGAAGGGGCACACAGTCCGATTCTGCAAAGCTCCAGTCCAGTCAACCAATCAATCTTCTGGAGCAGGTGTTAGTTAAGCTTGCTATAACTGTGGAACGGTTGGGCACTTTAAAAGGAATTGCCCCAAGAAATCAACAGCTGATAATACCGGGAGAGTCCTAGTCATAGGACGGGAAGAAGCAGTCGCCGATCCGACTGTAGTCTCGGGTACGTTCCTTCTTGACAACTCATATGCTAGTATTCTTTTCGATTCGGGTGCTGAAAGAAGCTTTGTTAGTCATTCGTTCAAACATAACCTAAAACATAATCCTCACCCTTTAACTGAAACATTTACTGTCGAGATGGCTAATGGTGAGAAAGAAAACGCTAATGACATATTCATAGGTTGTACCCTTACCTTGAACGATCATTCATTTCCCATCGATCTTATGCCAGTCTCTATTAAGAGCTTTGATGTTATCATTGGCATGGATTGGTTGAGTCCCAATCATGCTGATATTCTTTGCTATGAAAAAGCCATCCGTCTCAACCTTCCTTCAGGCCAAACCATCATAATTTATGGCGATAAACTCAGTTCCAATCTTCGTATCATTTCCTGCATCAAAGCCCAAAAACTCTTGCTAAAGAAATGTCAAGCATTCCTAGCCCATGTAATCAATGAGAAAAAGGAAATTAAAGACCTCGTGAGCATCCCCGAAGTCTGTAACTTTCCTGATATCTTTCCAGAAGAGCCTCCAGGAATTCCTCCCGAACGTCACGTCGAATTTCGCATTGACCTAATTCCTGGAGCTACCCCCGTAGCAAAGTCTCCGTATCGCTTAGCTCCAGTAGAAATGCAAGAGTTATCCAGCCAAATCAATGAGTTTCTCAGTAAAGGGTTCATCAGACCGAGTTCCTCACCCTGGGGAGCTACGGTCTTATTTGTAAAGAAGAAAGATGGATCCTTCTGGATGTGTATCGACTATCGTGAGTTGAACAAGTTGACCGTTAAGAACCGATATGATCTTCCAAGAATAGATGACCTCTTCGATCAACTTCAGGGAGCCAGCTACTTCTCAAAGATAGACCTTCGGTTAGGTTACCATCAGCTACGAGTTCAGCAGAGTGATGTTTCCAAAACATCTTTCAGGACTCGATATGGACACTATGAGTTCGTAGTGATGCCCTTCGGTCTAACCAATGCACCGGCTGTGTTCATGGACCTGATGAACCGGGTGTGTCGTTCCTTCTTAGACAAGTTCTGTTGGGTTTTGAGCATTCTAACACTCCTAAGTGTACATGCAACCCTAAATACATTGGACCTATGTTTTCTCTATTATACATGCAAATAAGAACATCCAAGGTATTATCCTAATCTAGCATACAAAACAATGAGTGTAACAAGATAGAATACATACCTCTTTGATGTAGAAAGTCTTCATGAAGCTTGAGTGCCTAGCCCCAATAGTGTGGAAGCCTCAAATGGAATCACAATCATCAAAACACTTAGAATAACTTGAGAGAGTTCTACACTTCATGAAATCGGATAGCCCTCTTCTTCACTTTCTAATATGATTCTAGTGGCCGATTTTTGTCAAGAATAAGATCTTTATATAGTGTTACAATTAGGGTAAATCCTTAATTGTCATGGCTTTCCATTTCCTTGGATCCATGGGTTCAAATACACCATGGAGCATCCATGGACCATCCTATGGGTTTTAGCCCAACTTGATTATCCATGGAGCATTAGCCCACTATATAAGTATGGATGATTTACACAATCAACCCATATATTTAATTAGTCTTCTTTTGATCACTTAATTAATCCTAGATTAATTCTTGATCAATACTAATTAAATAATCTTATTATTCTTATTATTAATATACTAGAACTTACAATATATTAATAACCATAAGTGTCTTATTTCTCTCATTATAGTCTATCCAAGTGCATGATGGTATGCAACCCAAATGGACCATGCCGGGTCGGGTCAAGTCTTACCAATTATAGTTATGGACATAGACATTAATCCAACAGTCTCCCACTTGGATAAGTCTAAAACTATTATTGCGTATGACTTCAGGAACCAACTGGCAATCGTAGCTCTCAAAAGCTTCTGTCGAACTCTGACCTTGTAGATGAACTCTGACCTTGTCAATGACTTGTCCATTAGATAAGGGATCATATAATCCTCTGTTCTCATGATATCAGCCGGACAAATACATGGAACAACGTCTTACTTACTGTCCAGCAGTTTGTTTCCCGATTTTCGATTTGCTTGACAAAGAACTTAATCGAACACATCAATTCAGTTCTGACCGGTCGGTACATAGGTCACAACAAAATCATCGAGGGGCCCAGATATCGCTTCTATTTCTAGAAGGAACAGATAAACTTCGACTCATATGCTTGTTCTACTACTTGTTGAATTGTACACAAAGGCACGTTTTATAACATCAAGTTACTGATGCGTTTACGTGCAATCAATGCACAACCAACTCATAGGTAACAACTCATATCTCTAGGTTTGAAGATTTATATGATATTACCGTCTCACGATCACTCGAGATAAATTCCATGAAGTGATACAAGTGAGCGTGGGTTTATTCCAATACTCATAACTTATGAGCACTCATGAATGTTGTAGAAACCATTGCCATGACTAAACCCATTTAGCCATCTACAAACCCGATTCATGACAGTCTTGATTCATACCTACTTCCAACATATGAACGACTGTGGAGTGTTTAAATAACTTAGTCATTCAGAAAGAATAACCTAGCTATTTTGGAAGTCAAAACATGCAAAGTGAAACACAATAATAATCGAATCTAATATGGTCTCAGAACCCTTTTGAATATAAATAAAACCACCTTTTATTTATCACCATATTGATTACACATTATTCAATGTTTCAAATAATCAACTTAAGACTTGAATAAAAACAACAGTCGTCCCATGCTCCTAGCATGTACACTTTGTTTTCTAAACAATAGTTATGCCATACCCCAAGTATGCACACTATGTTTGTCTATGATCCTTACATTGTGATGTAGATCAATTGAACATGATTCCATTGATACTCATTTCACAATCCCAAATCCTTATTGTAAATGCAAGAATTCCAAATTCATGTCATTTACTGAAATCTGTTAGATTCTAATCTTATATGCATTGATCCTCTTGTAATGATTATCCACGAAGTCAGAAAGACTTGACAACAACCATTACAGAGCATTCCAAAGGAGATCAGCTCCTTAGGAACATCCTTCTTGCACTAAGTTTCCTAATCTTACACAGATTGAATAATTTCTAACTTTGAAACATTTCCAGATCCAATTTTGACTATCACTTCTGAACAAGAGTTGCCTCCTTACAGATTATGTCAATATGGTCCTTCCAGAATTATCACTATACTTCCAATTGTCCTTGAGAAACCAATCTTTGGTAAACCTTAGATTGTCCTCGAAAATTGTTTAATCACTTTAGTCATATCCAGTTCTAGACTTTTCCCTTCTAAATGCCTTAAGCATTTGGAAAATTTAGAAAGGATGAATATTATAGCACGTGAAATCGATCTTATATCCGAAGCATATGGGACACGATTCATGATGTTTGACATAAAGACATGATACTAGACCAGTCTTTTGCTACAATATTTTTTATTTTTTATTTGCCATGTTTTCAAAATTTAACTATGAAGAGGGATGCCATAGTCATAATTGAATTTTGAAAATGCAATATATATAGAATTTCTTCAAGTTGAACCATTCCAACACAAAATTCATATATATTCTTGACTAAAGATGATTAAAATCTCAATCTAAGCTTTAGAATTGAAATGAAGTATAATTTCCTCTCCCTTAATTATAGCAAAACAACTTTTCAACCCCTGCAACTTCACGGATTGAAACTTTGATTTCTATAATTAACATTGCTAGCTTGCAATACTAATCATAATAATCATACTCCCACTAACATGATGATTATCAGCATAACACTTATGCTCCCACTTGCTCTGACATATTTCCAGAAATCTACTGGACTTCTGAAATTTAGATTCATACATCCTTTCTTAGATAGCTCACATGTGTATCTAAACAATTTTCAGAACTATGAAAAGGGATGCCGTAATCATAGTCTTAATTGCTTTTCCATTTCTCACAAGTCCATGTTAGCATGCCGGTTAACCACACGCGCTCCACTAACGACTTTTGAAAATGCAAATAACACAATTGCTATCTACGTAAAATCTACTTAGTGAAAGCGTTTCCTCACCATCATTTTCATGAATCGGAGAGAAACCTTATGACACTTAGATTTTATAGTGTATGAGTTCCTATCCATGCGAATTTGTCAAAACCATAATCACAAGATAAGTTTAGTGACAAATTCAGCCTTACATGGATTAAACTTATTCAATCACACAATTAACTGATGGAGTTGACATTATACTGAAGGCCTTTCACATAAGAGACATTTTTGAAGGTAACGTAATTGCACTTGATGGTTCCAAAACCCTTTGTAGTTCCTTAACCATTAAGTCCATATGTAACTATTGGACCATCCTTATTTATGAAATCTTATAGGAGAGATTTGAATCCTATCATATGCCTTGAGCAGCCACTGTCTAAATACCAAATATGCTCTTTACCCTGAAATGTTGATGCATCATCCCTTTTTGGCTTGAGATTATTAGTGGTAGAAGAATCATCATCAAGAATCATAATGCTACCATGTGAAGTGTTAGCGTGAGATTCAACAGTTTGAGCCATAAGACACTTAACTTCATCATCTGAACAAATTTCCTTTTCAAAAGCAAATGATAGAATGATCATCATCTCTTTAGAGGTTAAGCAGTTCTGGACCGAATAATAAACAGATAAAGGAAAAGAGTTTCCCATAGCAATTCTATCTTTTACATCAAGGCTTAGCATCCTTTTCTCTACCTTGTTGTAACATGAAACAAACTTCCCTTTCAGCTTACTTCCAACTGCACCAGTTTTTGACGCTTGATGTAAAGTGGCTATAGGACCTTTGTTAACGACATTGAGCATATCAAAATCCATAAACTATAGAACACTCATTGCCTTTGATTTCCGATCAGAAAATTCATATTGATCAAGTGGATTGATTTTGTTACAAAGCTATGACTTAGGAACTAAGGAGGACGACATGATTACTTGAGTGTCTCACAAACCCGCTCTGATACCAATGGAAGGTTTGTATTACGATAGGATGTAATTATTACAAATTTGTTTTCAAAATAGTTTAGATATCAGAGTATCCTAGAAATCAAGATCATAAAAATGTGAGGAGGTGCACGATCACGCCTTAGCCTTCCCACGATCATCTGAGGTACCTGAAACAAATCCAAAAACTATAAGCCCAAATCTCAGCGAGTTTCCCCTAAAATACCAACACCATACAATCATAATTGTATCATAGAAAATAAACAACATGCATATACAGTCTACAGAATGATTAGGTTGCCCTCACCTAGCCTGCAGTCTATCTGGCCCACTCTCAGATGCTTAAGCATGCCTGGTCCACCGACCTAGGCCTTCAACATGTCTGGACCGTTCTTCGGGCCTTTAGCCTGACTAATGTGCCCTACCGGCCTGCAGTCTATGTCGAATGCCCTTGGTATGGTTTCCTACATCACAAAGCAGGTCCGCCTCAACCCACCCCCAAACAACAATCATGTGCACATAATTATCATACGCTAGCTAGCATGGACAAATAGTCATACAGATCTAACAGATCACTAACATAGTATCATCCTATAACCAAGATATTGACCTAACTGGTCACTAACATAGCATCATCCTATATACCAGGATACTGACCTAACATGTCACTAAACATATCAGCATGCAGTAAACCTGGATACAAAATCCAAAGAGCATCGACATTAGTGCCTTCGACCCTGTTAGTATAGTGAGGAGAACTCACCTGACAAGTAGCGTAAGGTGATAATGTCAAGCTCCCCAAATGCAGCTCCAAACTCAAACACCTACATCCACAAATGTTTCACTTCCATAAATTCCAAATTACTAAAATACCCTCAGAAGTCAAACTGGTCAACCCTTGGTTAAAGTCAAAGTCAATGGTCAAGGTCAACAGTCCGTGTTGACCCAACTCGTCGAGTGTAGGTAACTGAATTGTCGAGTTCCTTCAAAACTCAAGAAGTCGTCAAAACCCTAGTCGACTCACCGAGTTTCTACAAAACTCGTCTAGACCATGTGGTGTCCAAATGTCGCCGAGTCCATGCAGAAACTAAAACAACCAATCTTCATATTACTCGTTGGGTTGACCATGCAACTCGTCGAGACCATTCAATCCATTTCTCATTTAGATGCTTTTTCGTAAAACCAAAGCTCGAAACTATAGATCTTAGTTCCTAGGGTCTTGTTATCATGTAAAGTTGTTAACTTTACGTGCATGCAAGGCTCCATGAAGCTAAAACACTTATAACTAGAATTAGAAGGAGGTTTTTGACATGAAGGAGGGCCAAAGCATCATAAATCTTTAGGCTTTATGTCCATTACGGCCTAGAGGAGTCCAGATCTGGAACTATGTCCTTGTGACAAGCTCAAATCCGAAAGTGACTCCATTTTTGAACCAAAATGCTCATTTTCTCACATAAGAAGAAATCTAACAAATGGAAGGCCAAGGAAAAGGATTTTTACCTTCAAATGCAAGACAAGACACTGTAGATACTGGATCTACCTGCTTCTTCTAGTTTCAATCTCCTGAAGCTCCAAGCTTCTTCAACAAATGCACCAACAACACACTTTTTAGCCTCTCAAACAATGAAGAATAGGGTTTAGACTGATTAGGGTTTCTCCTGGTCGTCCAAAGGTGATAAGGGGCTGGAGGAAAGGACTTAAGGTCCTTTAAATAGGATGCAAACCCTAATATTTAGGGTTCCCATGCACAACCTCTACTCATCGAGTCGGGGTGCTCCGAGTAGGAGTCATAAACCACGCAAGCTAATGAGGTTCGACGCTACGAGTTGGGGCCTCCAACTCATCAAGTTCCCTCAATAAAATTAATATAAAGCTTTCAAAAGTTATACTTGGGAGTCGGGATGTTACAAAATATTTGAAGACATCGGTTTATTTTTTGGATTTTCTCGGATTGAATTGTTTCATTTTTGTCACACATCGAGAGGTGGTTTTTTCATGTTTATTCCTCGAGAACTTCTGATACCCTTGTGTGTTTTGTAATCATTTTTTGATTATAAAATGGGAAGAATATTGAAATGGGTATTCGAAGATTATTTGATATTCTTTTTCTAAGCGGATTTAAAGATCGGTGTTACTTCGAGGGGAAGTTGGTCTTGATCGCTTGGAGCTCGTTTGGAAATTGAAGTCGTGACATCCAATCCTAACTTTGAGGGGGATAATGTTAGGGTGAAAATTTCTCCTTGGATGTGGCTTACCCTTTTGTAATGTGTAATGGGTTTAACCTTTCCTAGAAATAGAAAGTTAGTGGCTCCCATTTTGTGTAAGAACCATTTAGAGAGATTAGACTAGTGAGAGAATTATTACATACCCACTTTGTAATAGCCTACTAGATCTAATAACAGCATAACGATTTTATTTACTCTTTGTGTTCTTCATGATTGATTGATTCACTTGATCTTTAAAATTATGTATGCGCCATCATAACCGTGTCACTACAAGGTTTAGATATCAAGGATATGATGGGTTTTATAGGTTACAAAAAAATATGTGGCGGAAAAATTTATCCCTAAGTTCATATACGACCTATTGGATCTAAGTTTTCTCTATTGATTTGCAACAAAAAATTGAACATCAATACCCAACTATTTTCGGAATCATAAAGGGATTAGGGTTTACATACTTTTTGATTATTGTTGTAAATAATCAATAATTCCATCTTGAACAAGCATCATAAAGAAAGCACTAGAAATCTTGTGTCACTGATGGCTCACACCCAAAACACTAAAAAACCCTAGAATGTTGAGGAGAGAGAGAGAGAGAGAGAGAGGGAGAGAGAGAGAAAGAGAGAGAGAGAGAGAGAGAGAGAGAGAGAGAGAGGGAGAGAGGAATAGGAGAAAGAAATTTTGTTCCTAATACTCTTAGGAATGTCATGAACGAAAATTGATGGCCTTGGGGACCTATTTATAGTTTAGGTATCTTGCAAAAAGCAGAATCTGAATTGATTAAATAAAACATTTAATCCTAATTCAAATCCTTTCCTTTTATGCAACAAGGAGGCTTCTGGAAACCCTAGAAAGACTCCCAATTTTGTCATCCCTTGGATGATTCTAGAATTGTTTCTTTTATTAAACTATTGAACAATTACAATTCACCCCTTGCACCTTTAATTAATTCCAATTAATCCCAAATAAATTCCAGATTAATTATGATTAATAATTTATTATTTCGAACTGGTTTCTTATTAATATATTAACCATATAAATTAACAAATAAATTATTTAACTAATGATCTCATGTTAATTTATTAATCACATAACAACTTAACATACGAATTATTTATTCCCAATTAATATATATTAACAAAACATTTCTCTATTTCCTAATATCATTTCTAGCTATTTCTGGTTATAAGGACAATCCAAAAGGACTTTTCTCTTAATTCAAGAATATACCAATTTAGTTATTGGTTTAGACACCTTAATCCAATAGTCTCGAACTTGGATAAGTTTGTAACTAGAATTGCAAGTATATACCATGAAGTAACCAGCAAAAAGTGCTTTCCAAAGCCACTGCTGAACTCTGATTCAAATCAGCTAATGGCCCTAAGATAAGTGATCAAATATTCCTTCTTTCTACAAGATATCGTATGGACATGAGACATGGATTAGAATCAATCTTATAATATAAGATTATGTTTTTCGATTTCGTGATTTATAACGACTGAATTTTTATTACTAATTGAACACATCAATTCAGTCCAGGGTTGGCCAAAAACTTCAAATGTCAACAACAAATCATCGAGGGGCCCAAAGATATCACTTTTACCGTTAGGGAAAAAGGGACAAATAAACTTCGACTTATATGCTTATCATTTACCCATCAAATCATACATGATACTACATTTTATAACATCATGTTACTGATGCATTTTCATAACACGAATGCACAAGCGACTTGTAACTGAAAACTCATACATCTATATTAAAATAACATAAGATATTATCATCTCACGATTACTCGTGATAGAATCTATGAAGTAATTCTCTGAGTGTGGGTTTATCCAATACTCAAAATCTCTATTTTCTAAGTACTCATGAATATTCTAGCAACCATTTCAATGTTTAATCTCCAAAAACAATTTGAAATTCAATTCATAATAGTCTTAATTCACTACTTATTTCCAAAAGTATGTGTGACTATGGAGTTTGAATAATCAAATCATTTAGGAAGTAAAAAACATTCAAAGTGAAACACAATAACAAACTGATTAACTATGGTCTCAAAACTATTATATATAAATAATCTGTATTATTTAATTGCCATAATAATTACAACTTTATTCATTATATAATTTTTCGAATAATCAACTAACCACTTGAGTTAAACATCAGTCCTTCCATGTTATGAACATGCATACTATGCCTCTCTATGGTTCTTCCTTTGTGAACAGTTTAACTGGACATTATTCTAATGATACTCATTTTAGAATTCCAAATTCTTATCACTATCAAAGACGTGATCGAATGCATTAATCTCATGTGATATCAAGATTACAAATCTCAAAGACCGAGTCTTTGATATTACAAAATATCCCATTGAAACTTCCTTACTAGAAGCATTTCCATGCTAATGAATGTTTAAATTCAAGGTACAACCCTTCAACACTTCTCTTGCATTAAAGTTTCCAACTCACATGTAGCCTTTTCATCATCCCCCATTATGAAACATTTCCATACTCCCACATGACCATCAATTCTAATGAAGAACCATCTCAATCCATAATTATGTCACTATGGTACATCCAAATTAATATCATACTTCTAACTATCTGCAAGCAACCAATCTTTTGATATAACCTTAAAGAG